TGAAAGAAAATCTAAATAAATACCACAGTTAGCTGCTACAAATGTCCACAGATACGTTAAAATTAGGTCGAACCCTTTTGCGTCAGAAAAGGAAAAGAAAGTCCTCAACAAAGGATCGGACACTGCCTTGGTAATTGAAAAAGGTTGTCATAGAAACTCCTGGCAGGAAAGAAACGTCTGAAAGTGTCTGTTGACTCTGCAAACAAAACAAAATTGAAGATGAAACTGATATCTCTATATGAAGCCACAAATATCCTCCTATCTGATGTGTGTTTGACAGGCTTCCCTGACCAATCAGATAAAGAAAAGATAAAAAAAAAAACAGACAGCTGAAAAAATCCTCAGTTGTATACACAGTTGCACTTTTGTATTAATTCTAATTCATTCCCAGAAGTATACTTGTCATGCTATTAAAGCGACTGACTCAGAAAATACAATGTGCTGTGGATACAGAGGCAGAGAGAGGAAACGAAGGAGGGTTTCCGTGTTTCCTGCTGAACTGCAAAGCGTCTCGGTGTGTAAAAGACACAAGACTAATCACTCTCATTGTGGCCTATTTCCATGGTAACTCTGCACCGAGTGGTAATTTAGCCTCGCTAGCTAACGACACAGAGCGAGTCATTATCTTAGCGCCAGGCTAGGGCCTCCTATTTAAAGATTCACACCATGAATGAACAATTAGAGAACAGATTGCTGGCCTAAGTGGGGGAGAGACAGGAAAAGACAGAGGGAGAGGGGAGACAAGGACAGTATGTGGTCACCCCTCTGTTTGTCCATCCACCCATCCGTCCATCCAAGGACGTCCTGTGTATTGCTTTAATGTAACATTGTCAATGTTCTCAACCTTCGCACAGTTGAAATGGAAATTTGAAGTCAATTCACTATTCTTTCTCAAAAAGTATTAGCAATATCAATGCAGAGTGAATATACTGAAACAAACCACAAACAGTGAAACATGTAAACAGACTAACATTCGTGTTGCAAATGGCCAATGCAGTGTGTCGTGCAGCATCAGTGCAGTAGCCTTACTGAAATGAATTAGGTGGCTGTGTATTTATGCAGAGCATTCCGCTTTCGAAACTTTAGGGAATCGAACACAGGCGTTTTGGCACCTCAGCGTGTCCATACATATGCACAAGGTAGCTCTGTTTGAGACGCAGCAGGCTTCCATGTAACTCCAATGTAAGTCTGCATCGGTGAAGAGCGAGAAAGTCTCCATAAGAAGTGGATGGATGGGACAAACAAACACAGAAGAGACCAGCATTCAATATTCACTTTCATAACATAAGTTTCATAATGTTATGTACGTGACTTGTGTCACATGCGTCGCATAATGTACTTATTTTCACCCAAATCACAATCTTTTCCTAAACCTAACCAAGTAGTTTGGTTGCCCAAATGTAACTAAAATGCCTTTTAACCACGTTTCGTACAGATGCTACAGGTACCTTGTGTTTTTGTTTGAGACGCTGAGGGGCGTGACAAGGCCCCACCGGTATATTTGACGACCTGGGATGAAAATGTGGTGATGACTGAAATTGGAGGTTATTGTTTCCATCCTATTTTCTACAAATTAGTCAGTGCTGTTTCCTTGATATCATGACCACAATCTTCCCTAACCTTAACCAAGTAGTTTTTGTACGTAATGGCTGGGGTATACTTTTGTGTTGTTTCCCGACAACATCTGAAGGCAACACTGCTGTTTTGAATGGCCAATCTTGAAAGCGGGCAAAAAGCTTGCCATTATAGAAACGGATGAATCGTTCGAATGTGGATTACAGTACACAGTGTTGAATAGGCTCTCCTCGGAGGCATTCATAGTGTTCCATGTTTCAGCCACTTCATTTGAAGCAAAAGGACACCTTGAACCTTACCAAACCATTTGAAGGCACTAACAAGCAATGTCATCCTGCTGATATGGAATATCATTAAATTTGGAGGACTTGTTTCCTTAAAGGGTTAATTAGATTAGCAGCATATGAAGAACAAGGCCCTGGTCTGAAAACACACTTCACCAACAATATTCCTTTGGTCTTACAGTTCACATATGTCTCCCATCCCTCCCTGATTCCCCCCCCCACACACACACACACACACACACACACACAAACCACACCGCAGCGACCCTCCCCAAGGTCAGTGTCTTTTGCAAATGGTACTGTGTGTGTGTGTGTGTGTGTGTGTGTGTTAATGTCTCTCTCTCTCTCTCTCTCTCTCTCTCTCTCTCTCTCTGTCAGGCCTTTTATGTGTCTCTTTCAAAAGAAGCTGTCAAGTTGTACTGTTTAAGGGCTCACAGGAGGGACAAAAAGCATACTTTGTTTTGTTTTGTTTGCCTGCCGTGGTGTTCGGCTGAATGAGTGAGTGAGTGGAAGAGAGAGAGAGAGAGAGAGAGAGAGAGAGAGAGAGAGGTAAAGGGGGGGGGGGGGGAAACATGTAATTTACTGTTTGCCCCACTCTACTGTACATTGCTTTAGTTATGCTAATGCTGCTCTTTGTCAGGCTGAGGAGATAGCCATCAATCAGCTGTCAATTGGTCAATTGGAAGAAAAAAGAGAGAGAGAGAGAGAGAAAGAGAAGGCCCCTGTTCCCTCCCTCCTCGTCCTCCTCTTCTTCTCCTCTGCTACCTAGCGGACTTGGGGGTCCTGGGAAAGCCTGGCAGCTGGATCCGGATCTGGATCTGGAGTCCAGGTGGAGGGCAGGAGGAGGATCTGGGGAAAAAACCAAGTGAGAATGCATAAAAAGAAAGTCAGTTACAATCTGGTTTTGTGTCTTCGTGATTAGCTGTCTGCATGTCAAAAAGCTCACAGCGTCTTTGTTTTCTTGTTGTCGTTGTTGTTGTCAAAAAGCCTTTTAAAAGAAGTATCTAATTGTAATATGACACCTCTGGAAACTTGCCGTGCCACTCGCAGCCGTCGGCCGCTGTCAGCAGACGACGAACCCTTTATTATGCTAGCTAATGTTAGCGCTAAGATAAGCTAACAGGCCCATTAGTGCCAGTTCATTTAGCTCGTTAGCCGAAGCCTCGGGGCTGATGACATTCATTACATATCATTAGTGCACAATTAACATGTCTCACTCTGACACCGTCTCTCCCAATGTTACACGACACTTTTAATCATGTTTTATGAAATGTTTCTGCCGGCGTGACATGATTTATGAGTTTTACATGACATGGCGTTCATTACATTAAACAGCTGTAATCATAAAGGCTGCTGCAGACTGATTCCAGGTCCAAAGTCTGAGTCCTGCTCTGTCCTTGGGACTAAAAAGTAGGAAGTAGTTCATTCAACATCATCATTTTTTATTTTATTTCTCCCGTCAATTCATTTCTCGTCTCGTTCGTCTTCCAGGAATGCAATTTACTCTGCAGCTCATGATTCAGTTTAGAAGATTGCGGAGTATGTTACTGTTTGAAAAGACCTTCAGGGTAGAAAATAATGGAGATGAGGTGTGTCAGATTACAATTGTTTTTTTTGTTTTTTTTATATTTGAAGTTAGTTTTGTAGTCAGTTGTTGCTAAACTAGTTGTTTTGTGATTTGTTGGAATTTCAACCCAGTTTTTATTCAGAAATTGTGACACTAACTGTGGTAGTCAAATGTAGAAGTGGAAACTACTACTAGTACATTTAATCAGGTTTGAGGTACTTCTGTTACCATATATTTGTTTATTTGACACATATCATAGCATAGTAAATTTGATTTTTTACATATAAAACATTTAATCACTATATAAAATATGATGTTATGCTATAAGTTAAACTAAATATTGTTTCACTGTTTACACTTAAGGATCTGAGTTCTGATTATCTGATATCTGAATATTCCATGTCTGGCTATATATGGATTTTAGATGGTTTTATGTGTCTTTGAGGGTGATTTTTGTGTAAAACTGACCTGTACGTTTTGAGTGAGGTGTGATTTATCTCCAAAATGTTTGCTTTAGTGCATAGTTCATTTCTTGAAGAATCTAAACATAAATTTATACTGGGGCTGGGAGATTTGACTGAAAATAACATCAAAATCTATATAATAAGAAATTTGATAACAGTTTTACATATTTTAGTTTTATGCACTTTATAACTTTGCTCCAAATAAAATGGCAAAATGTAAGCAAATCACATATAAAATGATCAAATAGATGCTCAATACAACTTTCACTGTTCTGCTTTATATTACAAAAAATACAACACATTTGTAATGTTAAAACCTTTTAATTATAGATTTATTTGGAATCAATCAATCATAATTTTGTAAAATTATGATATGCCACAATACCTTTCCGCTGAAAGTCAACAGCAGTTATCATTAATTATCAGATAACCTAACCAGATAACTAAAACCAGAAGACTATTTTATATTTCATAGGATTCAAAATTCCTCATTTCCAATTTTCTGTTTTGCAGTGTATTTGTTTGAAGTAAAGTTGTCGTGACTTTACTTTAACCAGTTCCTGTGATAGATAACCTTAAGAAATCCTTTACATACTAAGGTCTAAGAATGCTTACTGTATGTGCCAAGACAGTCCAGCACCACACGCAGACACACACACACACACACACACACACACACACACACACACACAGATACACGCTCACCCACACAGAGGTACAAACAGTACTATTCTCTTTTTTCTCCCTATCACACTCACCCACCCACTGATCCACACAGAGACAGAGAGAGAGAGCAGTATTGATTTTGCTGTCTCGAGGCTGTTGAGAGTGTGTGTACTTGTGTATGTGTATGTATGTGTGTGTGTATAAAAGGGATTAAGGCCCTCGCTCAGCTGAGATACCATCAGCCATCAACCCTGCTAGTCCGCTTCGGGCTTTCCCGGCTGCCGCATTGTCTATTCTGCTCCGCTATGTGAAAAATGTTGAATATCAACAATGGCTTTCAGTGGTGTATTGTTGAGTTTTTGTATGAACTAATCTTGCCTCAGTGAAAGAGACCTAGGGCTTGGACAAAACGTCTAGAGCCACAGCATTCCTAGCTGGCTCTCCCCTTGAACACTGAGCAGAAGGCTGGGGCTGAGGGAGGCAGAGTAGAGGAGAAGGCAGGCTGGAGGAGAGGCAGGGACAGGGAGAGCCGAGGCCGGGGTAGGAGCTCCGAGGCTGGGGGGTTAGAGGGATGACGGGCCAGGGGAGGCTCGGGAGAAAAAGTGTGAAGGTGGGAGGGCGGGGTGGGCACGGGCACCGGGCTTAGGTGGGAGAAAGGTGAGGCTGAGGAGAGGCCGTGATTAAGGTGCCATAGCTGCAAAGGAATAGTAGGCTAAAAGAGGGATAAAGACGCAGGATAAGGTTGGGAGAAATGGAGGAGGAGGAGAAGGCCAGGTGGAGAAGATAAAGTGATAGGGAAGAAAAACTGAGACTAGGGTGCCAGTGGTTGAACTACACAGAAATATATGATTGTTCCCACACAGAAATGGTTAGGAGACAGTTGTTAAGCTGAGGAAGATGTCTAAAACCAATTAAGGTACAGGAATTAAAAGCGGGCTGGAGTTGGCAGGTAGCAAGACAACCAGAGACCAAAATATAGCCAGAAAACGAGACAGGAAATTCCAACTTTATGAGTGGGGAGTCTGCTTTCCTTTTCCTGCCATGGATGTAATGCTGGTTTGGACAGCGGCTGACGTCCAATCAGACAACAGGACCGTAGGCCTTGTCATAATGACAACCATGACATCACTGCAAGGTAAGCTGACTGAAAGATTGGCTGAATGATTGACTGACTCTGTGACTGTTACAGACTAACTGACTGACATCAGGATGTCTGAATGTTATGCTTTTTCTTCTCAACGCGTCTCTTTCTGCTCGTCTCCCTCTCACTAGTGTCGAAACAAGCTCAACCAAGATAGAGTCCAGGTGTGGGTGCTGATTTAGAGTGTGTAAGGAGTAGCTGTCAGAGGCCATGAATAGCTTCCACGCAGGCTTTTTTGGCTGTGTTGGTATTTTAATGCAGATTTATCTTGTAGCAAAATGCCTGTGGTGCTGCTCAGAGTGAAGCTTCAGTCTCTGTGTGTGTTGAGATCTCTGTGGTCTCCCTCTGTGTGTCTCCTTCCTGTCCCGCTGTGACTGATGAGGCTCCTGCAGACAGAGGGAGAGAGATGGAGTCAGTAGTGATCTTTTTCCTCTGTGTTAGATTCTGCTTTCAGATGACACGCGTTCATCTCGGAGTCATGGTAGAGTGGCATCGTGTTAAATTAGCAGTTTTAAAGTTTTATCTGTGTTGCATTTCGACCAGTTTATTCACCTAGAGTCAGTCACTGGCACAATCCACCCTGCAGACATTCACACAGGGAGCTGACCAGTATGAGAGCTCCACATGCCTTGCTTAAGGGCACAGCAAAATCATTTACTGTGTCCCAATTCCATACATTGTGTAGAATATATACTATAATAATGTATTGTATTGTAATGTATGCAGTTATTTTTATTTGTTAACAGAGAATGATGCAATACTTAAACCAACACTGACAACAATTAAACTACGACTTTAGAATAACTCCACCATTTACACTCAATGTTCACTGCCATCTGCATATGGTGAGGTTTATTTTTTTATTTTGCATTATAAAAGAAAAGTGTATATTAACACCACACTACTACTACTACATTAATATTTTGAGTGTGTGTTACTTTGCCTGCTTAGAATTGGTATGCAGTATGGTTTAGTTTCCCTGCTCAGATTTTTTCCCAGATGCTTAAACCGGTGACCTCTGATAGTCCTTCCTGACCTGCAAACTGCAGTTTTGTTGGAATTCAGAATAATTTTTTACTTTGGATATGTTCATTTTTAGACATCAAGCAGTTAGAACATTTAAGAAGCAAATCCAAAGCTTATTCTATATTTCTGTTAATACTCCTTTCTTTTCACAACTTGCACACAGTGAATATGTAATAAATTGTGTGGTATTTATGGGTTCTTCTTCAGAGAGATGAACACTCACCGTGGAGTGGTGGTTTTCTCTTTTGTAGTGAAGCCAACATAAGTAGTTTCTGACACTGTTCTCATTGGCACCGTAGGGCCTATAGGGGTCAACATGGTGTGTGTGTGTGTGGCAGTTTGGGGTCAGTGCCACGGAAACCTGGAATTGAGACATGGTTGGCTTAACCCCTCACCCTCAATACACACACACACACACACACACACACACTCACACACACACACACACACACACACGGACATGTGAACCTCAGTGCAGTCTAATCGGTGGCCCCTGGTGATTTGTCCTCTCAGCTTGAAGCCCTGTCATTCCTCCCTGCTCTCCTCACAATTACAGCCCTGAACTGAACTAGAAAATCTGCTCCAATCTAGCAATTAGTCCTGAGGCCACTGGCTGTGTGTGTGTGTGTGTGTGTGTGTGTGTGTGTGTGTGTGTGTGTGTGTGTGTGTGTGTGCTCTCTTTGTGTTCCAATCCTTGTGAGGACCACAAACAGGACGACTGAAGTTGGTGACAGCCAAATAGTGATTGAGACATCAATGTGTCATTGTCAGTTTAATATTTTTACCTTCTTGTGATTACTGTAAACATATTAGTCCTCGCTGGAGATGACTGTTAGCCTCACACTAATGATAGTGTTTCTCAAAATGAAGACCACCTTCAATCTGAGCCCCTTAGAGGATCCTGATTTTTCCAGTAGCTTATACCTTGTGCAGCTTTATTTACACTCAAAGAACAGCACCATCGTCCTATTTTAAAGCATTACAGAAGATTGTGTGCCTTTGTCTTATACATATAATTTTTTTTGAGGGATGGCTGTAAAGGATGTGAAAATAAAGGTACACTTCTCATCATCCATGTCTTATTCTGAATTTATTGAAGAGGACAAAGGGAGGGATTTAATTCATTTGTGAAAATCAGTTTTACCTATGTGCTTCCATACTCTGAAAGGACAGAACCTTCTTCCTGTAGTGTTTTGTGCTGTAAAGCAATGCAAAGATGTTGCACCAAATCCCAAACTGTGCAGTGTATTTTACGAATGCACACATTTTTGTTTATGGAAATTGTACTTAGTAATTAGTAATTAATAATGTTTACATACAAATTATGTTATAGTATATTTTTATGATTTTCCTCATAAAAAGTACTTAAGAACATGCATAGTACCACACACCTGAGTAGCCTAACTTGTCCTTATTATGTCAACATATGACTTGCCCCGCTGAGACATGTAGTGACCACGCCATAAGCCTGTAAATAAAGAGATTGAAAGACTCGGGTTCAATAGGTTTAAAGTAATTCAATGGAGAGTCCTTACAAGTGTGGCAAATCCAAATGAAAGTGCGAGTGTGTGAGGATGAGAGGATGAAGTGGACAGGGGAGGAGAGGAGTGCAGCGTGGTCAGGACGGGATGCAGCGCGAGGGAGGAGGGAAGGTTTTCATGGCCAGGGGGAGAGCAGGCCTGACTGGGCAGCAACAGAGACGCTTAGTGCCGCCTGGCTTCCTCCTAAAGACTCGGCCTCTTTTTCCCCTGGCGCATCTCGCTCCTGTGTCTCCTCTCTCTCCTCCGCCACCACTCTCTCCTTCACTTTGCTCTCTTCTCCTTTTGTCCCTTCCCTCCTTCACCCTCCAGTTCCTCCTGCTCGCTCTCTTTTTCTCACTCCATTCCTCCATTTCTCTCACTTCCTTAGGTTTTTTCCCCCCCCCCTCCTCGTCTGGGCCATTACAGACACTCAGCAGCGGGCTGAGAGGCGGGGGTGGGTGGCTGCGGTGGTGGGATGGGGAGATTGAGGGGGACAAAAGCCCTGAGATGCAGCGGTCCGACGAGAGTGGCTGGCTTTGAAAAGAAGCCGGACGGCTTCTTAATGCAGCGAGTGGACGGACAGACTTGGATAGACGGACAGAGCAGACTCAGCCCTTTATCCTCGTCCTTTAGCTGATGCCTGTTTTGGCCAAAAAAGCACATCATTCGCCTCGTGCCTTTCCCTCTGTGCCTGATGTTTCATCAAACACATTAAGATGTGATGGAGGGATAGGTGGAGGGAGGAGGAAAAGAGCTGAAGGCCAGACACTTAAGAGGCTGACGGAGAAAACTTTTCCGCTCCCTAAGAGGAGAAGAGGCAAACATGTGGATGGGATAGAAGAGTGTGTGCGTGCATTTCTTTTAGAGGTTGCATCTCTTTTATTGTACATTAAGACATTATACATTAGTGTTTCACCATTGCTGCTGTGCCGCTGTTGTTCGGGTTAATGTTGAGGGAGAAAATATTGACAGTGAAGTTGGATGCAGCACATTAAGAGAGCTGAATGCGCTGCTTACAGGTTTCTGCTTTTGAAGATGCAGCTCAGCTAATAAACCCGGCACTCTAAAACACATGCAAACACAATCAAACTATCTTGTTATCAGAATATTTCTGGTCTGAAACCTAAAGCTTTTTACTTTGTTGACTTTTTCTTGCAGTTAAATGATCAATAGAAAATAAAGTAAAATGATTTTACAAATCCATAACTCTTTGTGACACTAATCTTTGTGACACACCATCAAGGACAAACACTTTTCTTCAAAAGCTTCAATAGTAAACAGATCAGCTGAATGGATTTACTGTCCAAGTCCCATCTCTTATCAACCTAATTCTCCGACCAATTATGGCAGTTTGTATTCGCCTGTATTATTTTACTCAGATGGGAGGGGTCTTCAAATATTTTCTGCCTATGTTTATTTACTTGTGTTGGCTGTCTCTTTGTTGTGGGTGGTGTAAGAGTATTATTATGGATTTGGCTCTGAGAGCTTAGCTGGTCCGCGATTCTGATATCAGCTGGACTTTGATCAAATGCAACAAGCTCTAAATCCACTTTAATCAGCGCAGCGTTAGTTTACCGACGAGGAGACTTCACAACAACCGCAGCTCAGGGACGTTTCTGAGAAGTCGGGGGAATAAACACAGACTTACTGACACTTACGTATAAACTTTAATGAAACTAAAGTTGCATGGAAAACCATTTTGGAGATCAGTGTTCTAATCTGAATACAAGGGTTTGAATGAGAGTGGTGTGAGGGCTCTATCAACGAAGCTTCATGAGGTTAAAAAAGGGAGACTGCTCTTCCAATGGAAATGTTGTTGATTATCACCAAGATGGGTCTGTTCTTCTCAGTTACATATGCAACACAGTGAAAAGGTTTTCTTGTCTTCTTAATATCCATATCCCAGAGTATTTGTGTACAGAGTTGAGCTGGTGTGACACTGCTCAGCTTTGGTATGAAAAGATGAACACTGGATTATTATTTGGTTACTCGAAGTTGCTATAATCAATAGTTCAGTAATGGATCAAATGATAAGGTTCTGACCAAGCAACTACTGAACTTTGTGGACCGTTATCTGCAGGTTTGAAATTTTTTATAGTTATTCAGTTTTTGTCCTGAGTCGGACACCCTTATCTGCTCGCTGTTACCTCTGATCGCTGCTGGTTGTACATGTTTATCAGGTTTTTCCCAGGGTCAGCCAAATCAACAATGTCAACACATCGAGGACCATACTTCTGTCCTTCACAATGAGATAAAATGCTTCAACAACTCCAAATGTGAAAATACAGACATGCGTTTAAAAGGGAGAGTGTTGCCCACGTGGGACTTAAGTGTTCTTACTGCTTGCATGTATAAATTACTTACAGTTAGAGTTAGTTTTTGCATTACATTTTCGTTAGGACATAAAGGTATCCAAAAAATGCTTAGCACTTCTGCTATCTGCTCTGC